GGGTTTCTTGTAGATGAACGCGAGGCTGCCATGGAGACGCATTTGGGCTCAGGCAGCTAAGCACGTTCATGGTGAGGGTGTGCCAGGTGGCAGTAGCTCGTCTTCCTTGAGGAGGCTGCTGCACGCAGTTGCAAGTGAGGATCCGACATCTACGATGCGAGCGACTCCTTGCCACCAGCAGCATGAGCACTACATCAACAGTTTGAGTGTGTTGGGCTGAAAGATGCGAACACCAGGCCCACAGTTCCACTATCAGTGGCAAGCTTCGTGACTTTCAAAAGAACGCGCGACCAGCCCGCAATCATACTCGGCGACGCGTCTGGAGGTACTGGCTTTTCGGTCTCACGCTTGCGTCGAGTGGCTCTGGGAATCCTACGATTTGGAACCTATGAGCTCGCTCGGGTTCAAGCCCATACAGTAGGAGGACCTGCTGTTCGGAAGCAGATAGTTCCTCGTGAGGAGCTGAAAGCGTGTTAGTTGGCATTGTGGGCGAAATCACAACATTGTGAATATATCGCGGATTGCGAGGCCGTCATGAAGGGATGGCTACAGCACCAGCAGGACGAATCAAGAGGCGAGGACGATGACCTGTGGAGTCAGATCCAGCTTGTGCTGGGAGATCGGGATGGTGATGTCGGGGAGGGCATCTTTGTCGGTCGAGCCTCACGCTCGCAAGTGATCGGTCACACCATCGTCGATGACATAGTGAGTTCCATGGCGGGTGAGGTGAGTGTATTCTGGAGTCCCGAAACGGTGCGGTGACAGACCGTGCGGTGACCTCGAAATCCCGCAATACCTCACCGCACGGTCCGTCGACGCACGGCTTTGGGACCTCGGATGCCCCAGTCGCCCGAGACGTCCTCGGAGAACGACCCGAGCCCCGAAACCGTGCGGTGACCCCGAATCCCCACTGACTCACCACACGGTGTGCTCACCACCCCGTTTGTGGGCCCCCGATGTACGGCGACGATCGGCGCCGCATCCTGGACATCGACCCGCTGGCGCGTCTCGTGCGGCAGAGGGCGGATCTGGCCGGCCGCAGGCGCCCTGACCAGCGACTTCTGGCTGGGGAATCGGCAAGTGATCGGTAACACCATCGTCGATGGGACGCACAGAGACATACTAATACTATATGTCCTCCTTGGAGGCGCGCATCCGACCCAAATATATAGGATACCCATCTTGTAATAGATCGTTTCCCAAGCGGCGTGGCCAGAAAGCGCCCACCACGACGCATATACTACAAGATTTCTCGGTGCGCGCGTCGCCCTTGGGGGGCGACGCACATATAGTATAAGTATGTTGGGGTGACTCCAAACATAGTGAGTTCCATGGCGGGTGAGGTGGGTGTACAGTGACGATCGGCACCGCATCCTGGGCATCGACCGGCTGGCGTCTCTCGTGCGGCAGAGGCTGCTCTGGTCGGCCGCAGGCGCCACGACCAGCGACTTCGGGCTCAGGAATCGGCAACGCCATCGTCGATGACATGGTGAGTTCCATGGCGGGTGAGGTGAGCGTACGGTGACGATCAGCACCGCATCCTGGGCATCGACCGGCTGGCGCGTCTCTCGTGCGGCAGAGGGCGGATCCGGCCGGCCGCAGGCGCCCTGACCAGCGACTTCGACACGGGAGAAGGGTGCGCCTCCTCATCCTCCGCCCCCCCCTACACCTCCTGCTCGTGGCATCGTTTCAATGTCAGGTCGGGTGTGTCCACCTACAGGCAAAGTCAAAACATGCACCAAACATGCCCCAACATACTCAACAAGTAATCCCCTATACGATTTTTGACTATGTTTCAATATTCCCCCTGTAGAGGGACATGCCCGACTTAGTTTCAATATTGCGGACCAGTCACGTTGTGGTGAGCTGCGGCAGGAAGTGCCAGCGTTGTTCGGGGTCGGCCTCCGCAGCCAATGTTTGAGCCCTGGAAGAGAACACCCGCTGCGCCCGACCCCTCAATCTGATCGGGTCCTTCCACTCTGTTCCAACGGGCGGCACATTCCACGTGGCTGGGGACTGGGTGCGCGAATCGCACGCAGCGAATCTTAGTACATACAGAATTGGGCTCGTGGTCCTGTGGGAGGTTCGGGCCGTTCGCCAACCAACAGGAAACCTCCCTCCACTAGCCTTGTGTTTCGAGCCACGCCGACAGGTGAGGGCTGCCTAACCAGGATCCGCCAGGAGCCTACACCAAGGCCGAGATGGCGAAGCGTTAGGGTCCTGACTGTAATTTCCCCTCCTCGGTTGAAGGCTCCATTTACCCTCACTCAGTGAACAGGTCGACTCAGTATCCTCCCAATCCTCCTCGTGACGTCTTCCTCCTCCTCCTCCTCATCCTCGTGTTCCTTGTTCCTACTAAACTCAAAAAATGTTGAGACCAGCCGACTGCATCATTACCAGTCGTTGCGTCAATAGCTTGTTCACGAAGAGGGTGGCTGCTTCAAGCGCAAGTGCTTCTGCCAGAAACTACGCAATCTGTATCATACAGGGAAACCCTGACTCAAAACCGCATGCT